ATTCTGTTTTTGGGATTTAATTGAAGCATGCTCAGAAGTAATTTTTTAAATGGTTTGTATTCTAATGGAATCTTACTTTCAAAGAATTCATCTGCTGTAATTGTCGTTTTCCTGGTGCATTTTAAAAAAATATCTTTATTTGGTAGGAGATAAAATTCAGGCCATTCATTTTCGTCAGGAAAATCAAATATTTGGATAACATGGTCGGCTATTTCTTCTTCTGACCTACAATTTGAAAACAGACTTTCACTAGTTAATATTTCATAAAAAGTACATCCAAGTGACCAAACATCAATTTCGTTATTATAACAAGTTTCACCTAAAAGAATCTCAGGTGCAATATACTTTAATGTGCCAACTATATTAATTGATTTATTCCCATTTTTATTTTGAATATTAATTTCTTGTTTTTTTGAAAGTCCAAAATCGATAAGTTTAATAACATTATCAACAGATACTAAAAAGTTTCTTGGCTTAACATCGTGATGAATATAACCTTTTGAGTGAATAGAAATCAACGCAGATATCATTTGAGTGAAATAGCATTTGATTTGTTGTTTTGAAAAAGGTGTTTCCTGGTGGATTAAATCGCTTATGTCATACTCATGATACTTATAAACAATGTAAGCAAAATTATTCGAGTAATTTGCTTGATAATCAGTAAGTTCAATAATATTAGCTGATCCTTTGAGCTCTCTGAGGAGTGAAATTTCGGTATGAGTATATTGGGAAATAATTTTTGGTTCTACCCTTTTTTTAATCTGTTTAATAGTAACTATATCTTGAGTACCAATTTCGCGGGCTTTATAAATAAAGCCAAAGCCACCTTCACCAATTCGGGAAATAATTTCGTACTTCTTCATAATTATGGACTTTTCTTTCATTTCCTTATATTGAAATTTGTTTCGAGATTTCAATTTGCCTTAACCTATGTTTATTTAGCCTAATGATTTCGGTTAGATTTTATGTGTCTCAATTTTATTTTTTTTTTTTAAACGCATTATTAAGAAAAGTTGTATTTTTTGATGACTGCTTTTGTGATCTCTCACAAATAAAAAGAAATTCAAAGGTAAATAAAAACGATAAAGAGTGTTTTATCAATACATCATTATCTTTAAAGAATAAATTCAAATGCAATTTCATGATAGTGTGGATAATATTTGAACATCAGCATATTATAAAAAATATATAAATATCGTTTAGAATTAATTCAAAAAGATTTCCAATTTTTATCAGGAATTAGTCTTGATCCAAAAGTGTTATATATAGACTTTTTGCTGGTAGTGGTTGGAAAAAACAAGGTAATGCTAGGGTTTCATTAAAAGTTTGAAAAGAAAATATTAGTTATTTAAACAAGCTTTATTAGCTGTCCAAAGTTCAAAATGAAAAAAAGTATTAGCTATTATTTATTTACTTATTTATTAACTGTTATTTATTTTGTTTCTAAGATATAGAAAACATTTATATAAGTTCGTCCTTAAAAATGCTTTTAGAATATATTTATAAGCTGTTTTGATACAAGAAACATCAAAAGTACTTATACTCATTTCAAATTATTCCATTTAATTATTATACCAAAATGCTTAAAACAATTCATAAGTAGTGCAATATTATTAAGAATTCGATAATATGAAATTAACCCAATTTTTATTTTAAAATATTGATCATAGAAAAAAATATGACGTTTTTAAAATTGGTGAAAATACCTCTTTCAAGACCAAATTTTGTCTCAATTAAAAATTTTTATGAATGAAAGCTTATATTCTACAGATGAAATTGCAGAAGATACTATTGTCCAAAATCATAAATTTAGTTATTTCCCCTATGTTGGTTACTCATTACCATTAGAAAATTGCCAGTATAATAACATTAAAAAAACAATTTTTGATAAAGAAATGGAAAATTGTATCTGTATTCGCAAAGAGATATTTTTTGATCCCAAGCAAAGAGAAATAAGCAAATATTCCAGAGAACTTTATTTTTTATGCCATTTAAAAAATCTGCATCCAGGTATTGTTGAGATTTACGGTTGGAACGAGCACAGTATTTTTATGGAGCATGTAAAAAATTCTTCATTATATATGATGATCAAGAAAAATAAATTTCATTTTACTGGAACACAAAAAACAAAAATTGCTCTAGGAATTGCTCATGCAGTAAATTACCTTCATAAGTTAAAGATTGTTCATTCAGATCTCACTTTAAATAATGTTTTGATTGATGAAAACATTGAACCAAAAATATGTGATTTTGGTAATACAAAATTTTTATCGGAAGAACCAAATCGTGTTGGTACAATTGGATATATAGCAATAGAGCTTTTTAAAGAAGGATGTAAGAAAAACTCAACTAAGTTGGACGTTTTCGGTTATGGAACAATTCTTTGGGATTTAGCTGTTGAAGATGATCAGCCAAAAGACAAAGATACGCCTGATAAAGATACATTAAATTACAATAGAATCGAAGATGAAAAAGTGAAATTCTTGGTTCTTGGATGCAGAGCAAATCATCCTGATCAAAGATTTACTTTGGATTATGTAATTAAACTGATAATAAGCGGAGAATTTATGTATCCAGACTCAAATTTTGCTGAAGTAAGGGAGTATTACACTAGACTTGAAGCGCAAACAAAAGACATCTCTGAGTTCGAACCATAAGTTTTTTTGGATTTTATTATTATATATTATCTATAAATGTTTTTAATGATTTTGATTTCACCGCTTCCTCGTTTTGGTTATTAAACGGATATTGATACATAATAGATTAATTTTTCAATTCGACAGTTTTATTAAATTTTTGAACAACGTCTTAAATAACTTTTACTGATTAAGATTTTTTCCAAAAAGTATTAGCAAAAAAAAAAAAAAAAAAAATCTAAATTTTTAAGTGTATATTTATAGAATATAATTGAATTTTATATATACAACAATACAATTAATCTAAATTTATGCGAGTGGATCAAAGAATGGGCCAACAATGTCAGATAATCCAATTGTAAAGATGACCAACGGGTTGATAAGTGGAAGAGCTTCAAGCTCATAAACATTATCTGCCATTTTTCTAACAATAAATGTAGTATGTCCATTAGGATTCTGTAAAACAATGTTTTTCCTTGATCTAATAGGACGATGGTGATATTCGCCATGGAAATTCAAATAATATTTGTTCTTAATTGCGTTATATTTTGGTGTTTTTGGAGTCCATGTGATTTGTCTTTCTTTGTAAGGGAAAGTAACGCTAAGTGATGTATGATCTGGTTTACCAGAAGCAACGTATTTCAATTTATATTGTTGATCATTAAGACGAATGAAGTTTACACTATTAGAATCTTGGAAAATATGGCCAACATGATTAGATGTGTCACTATTGATATGCACATTGTTTCCTTGGCCAATAAATATGTTATTATCTTTTTGTTTAGCTGTATATAAAATTTTTCCATCCAAACAAAAACGAAAAACTGGGCATTTTACAGAATGATTCTCAGCACGAACAAGATATATAACTGATTTAACTTTCTTTGGCGTTTCTTCTGTTTTCTTTTCATCTTTAACTGATTCATTTGTTTTATTATTATCTTTATTTTCATCATTTTTGTTTTCGTTTTCATTTTCATCTTCATCTTCGAAATCATCAAATTCTAAATCTTCTAAATCAGCATGATGAATAACATGATTTTCACATTCAATAAACATATAAGATTTTCCATTAGATCCATCATATTTATCATCTGGAACATTGAAATTAGGATCCAAATTGCTTTGAACAAATGAAAGACCAGTATCATAAATTTTTTCAGCTTTAAACATTTTTGCAATTTCACAAATTTCTTTCATTTCTGAATTTTGAACGTCTGTTGGTAAGTTCTGACACAATTTAAGAAAATTGTTCATATTTCGGTTTGAAAAGTCATATCCAGCAACTTCTAATTCTAAATCTGGACTTATTTGATTATCTTGCATAAATGGCTGGAGTAATTCTCTAAATCTGAGTGATGAATTAAAAAGTAATGCAGGATCGACCATATATCTGGCATGGTTATAAATAACAGGGAATGTTTGAGTCGGTAATAATGGTTCAGAAGGTTGTTGAGATATGAAGGATTCAGATGATCCCATTGATTGTAATGATTGGTTTGATGATAAGCCTCCTAAAGAAAGTCTTGATGCAGAAGATTGAAGTGATAAATTTGATCCTGATTGAAAAGATTGTGCTGATGAAGAGGCTCTTATTTGTGGTTTTTGATAGTTGTATAAAGGAAGATTTGGATGAGATGTTTGATTATTCACTTTTGGAAGTGGTGGTAATTGCCTTTGATTGTCAGTATTAGGTTGAGTTGGTTCCATAATAAGTTTAATTAAAAAATGATATATGAAGTATCATTTTAGTTAGAAATTTACAAATGAAAGAAAAATAATATCTTCTTTCAAATTTGAAATAATATAGAATAATTAATAGAAAATTCAATTGAGTTTATTTGATTATTGATATCAATCTGAATTGAATTTTCTATATATATAGAAAAAAAAACTAAATTGAAATACAGTAATATTTTCAAATGAAATTTTTTGAGCTATTTTGTAAAATATTATAATGCTAAATTCTTATTTATGTAGTTCATATTTAGATATCATTTATATATTAAACCTCCTTTTAATTTGATGAAGTCCCACTAGTATAATGGTTAGAATAGATCCTTGACACGGATCAGACTGCGGTTCGATTCCGCAGTGGGACATTTTTTTCATTATCCTCAGGTTTAAAACATTTGTTTTTTTGCTTCTCATTAAATTGTATTTAAAACAGTATTCGCTTTTTCTGGTCATGATGAAGATTGTATATTTATTTTGAAGGATATTAGAATCAATTATAATTCATTAAAATGAACAAATTAAATAATTTTTCATTATTTTAAATATTCACATAATTAAATCAGATCATTACATCGTACATTACCAATCAAAAAAGTAAATTGTCAGTAAAAAGGCATAATACAAAAAAACTTCCTACAGGACTCGAGTCTCGCGACACTCTGATTAAAAGTCCGATGCTCTATCCAACTGAACTACGAAAGTTCCCGTTTAATATCTTTAACATCAGAATTTTTCCATAAGCAAATATAAAAAAAAATTATAAATAATCAGGAATTTCATCAAAAACTTTAGCATTTTTCAAAAAATCCTTATAACCATCGATTCCAATTTCTCTTTCCCTTTGAATGTTTTCGAATCCTGATTTATCATTTTTGAATAATTGTAATGCTTCAAAATTATTGTAGTATTTCTCATCAGGATTTTCTAGCAAGTTTATAATCGAATCGAGGATTGAATAAATTTTCAAATTGTATCTGTATTCTTCATCAATCAAACCAAATCTTAAAATTCCTTCATCTTATATATTCGGGTGAAAAGGTACTGTTAAAAAGACGAATTTTGGAGGGTCAATTGGGTTGAATTTTGTAACTGACATGAAGCAGTTCAGCCACTTAGAAGAAATCGGATTTTTAATGAAAATTCTCCATTTTCCAGGATATCTTCATGAAGATATCTTCACGCAATTTTCGTTAGGATTAGATTCAATTTCATTCAATTCATCCAAAATTCTCCAACATTGAAATGTTTCAATTTGTCTTTCTTTTTCAAAAAGTTTTATCATATATTTCGGCTAAGCTAATTGGAGGTAGCTCTTAGCATCAACAATCGATTTACTAGTATAAGGATCTTTTGAATTATTCCGCATTTCAATGTCAATAAAAACCTCCTTTTCAATTATTTTTTGGCAATAGAGATCTGAACTTGACTGGAAATAAAGACCATTCGTTATATCAGTAAGCGAAAACAGTAGACCTTTATCAGCTGGTGAATCGCCGATGTTAACAGAATCTATCACAATATCATCTAAATTTTCTGAAAGCAAGTTCTCAGAGAATTTAGAGTGATCAAATGGCTCGCTACTTATTAATACAATTCTATATTTTGCATTCTCAAATTGAATCTCTTCTGCATCGTCATCATTTTTGTCTTCATTAAACTTAGCAGCATATATCATATCAAATGCTTTTATCAAAGCAGCAAAAATGTCTCTTTCGCCTTCTATTTTTGAATGGCATGTCAAGTGCCTAAAAATATTCTCCTTTTCTCGATCAATTTCTTGGATAACTTCAATATCTTTTTTAAAAGTAATCATTCCGTATAATGTATCTGATCTTTTATCTATTCTATTGATGAATGATTGGAGAAACTGTGAAGCAATTTCGAATCTCGTTTTGCTGTTTACTTTCTGATTCATTTCGCTTGACTCATCGAGACAAAAAACGATGACTTGATGGATCAATTCTTTATCAACTATCGAGAAAATATTTTGAGTTTCAGCATTTTGATAGATTTTAGAGAGTTCTTCAATTGAAGCTTCTTTCACTTCTCCCTCATACGGGTCAATGTAACGAGCATAATTATCTTTGTTAGCGACCTTTCCAATAAATAAAAATGCTTCATTTGTCCTTCTTCCTTTCACAAAACTTGAATAATGGCTCTTTTTCAATGAAAGAGGATTAATATCTTTAAATGTATTTATGCAATCATGAACATTATTTTCTCCTATTAAAACGTCATCATTTGGTTTATCAATATTGAATCCAGTAAAATTTGTATACTTTATATCATTGTTCCATATTAACACTTTTTTTTGCTGTTTTGATCTTCTCAAATATTGGATAATTCTACGCTTTTCTTCGTTTCCATCTTCTTCATCATCATATTTGTTCGTATCTATGTCGTATTCATCAAAAAAAATAAGCAATCAATTTCTTGAATTAAATGAATAAAAGTTAATATTTTAAATGTGTATTCAAAAACCTTTTCATATTCAAAACGAAAAGGTAATATTGATTTGTAATAGAAATTATATTAAGTCCTGTAAGTGGGAGTCGCTTCATTAGCAGTAGAAAATTTACAAGGAGAGAGCCGAATCTTGTTGTTTTTTCTAATATTAATAATAATTTTTCGCTATAAATTCCTTGATGATATAAATAGCCTAAAAAGGATGCAATTTGAGTTAATCCAGCAGTTGTGGATTTGCGAATTGGAGATAGTAAATTTTGGTGAGCAAGTGAGCATGGTTCTAATATTTCTTTATTTATTTCTGATCCAAGTTTTTTCGTAATTATAGCATATATCTTGTTTCTAATAGGATATATTCTTTGATTGAAATCATTGATATTTTGAGCATGAGAACCAAATTTGGAAAATAGAGGAATTCCGCCTGAGAGGAAAATGTGTATTCCAAAAATGTTGGGCAAATTAAGAAGCATCAAATTATTTATCAATTCTCGAATTTTGCTTTCAATCTCTTCATAATTTTGATTAATGTCTATATCTATCTTGTGTCCTTGAAAAAAAGATAGCTCTGATATATTGGTGTATAATTTCATTTAAAATATATAAGAACAGCTTTATATTGATATCTTATTAAGAAAAAAAAATATGCATAAATTAATTTTATTTTTATTTTAAATTTTTTCAATAAAATATATATTTCAAAATAATTTAGATTAATTATTTTATTTTATTTGGATATTGGCACTATAAGGGCAGATTTATTGTAAACTTTTCAATATTTGAAAAACTCATAGAAAATAATAATATACGGTATCTCACTCTGAAAGTTTGAGGAATCCAAAATTACAAATATTAAAATGATGCTATATTGTATTTATAATATTTCGGTTATAGTGTATAGGTAAACCTTCTCAGTAATCCTGAGATATAAATATAAAAAAAAAAAATGAATTAAACTCACTTCCTCCTCCTACCTTTCGTCATTTTTTATAAATTTTTAATAAAAATTTTGGTTAACATTTTTTTATATAAAATGTTAACATATTTATTCTACTTAAAAATACATTTTTGTAGCTTATTAATCATATATATCATTTTTTGTATATAAAAGATGAAGTAGAATAAGCTTTAGCAAAATAGACAGATTTCCAATTTCATAGACAAACTCGTCTAAAACAAGTATTTATGAATTTTCTGATTTTAAATCTTAAAATTTTTTGTGATATTTTGTATTATTTTATTCATATGAATAAAGCTTTTTTATCGTTCTCTTTGAAAATCATAAAATTCTTTGAAATTTTTATATAAATATAATTGAATTTTAATGAAACTTTTTGAAATGGAAACTTTTGTCTCTTGTCATGACAAAAGTTTATCATTCAATTTTGAATGGTTTACATAGACAAGTCTTGTCTAAACTTGTCTAGACAAAAGTGAATATGTCTTAGGCCATTTTTACATTCAATTTTTAATTAAAAATCGTAATATTGATAAATACACTTGCTTTTATTTAATAATTACAAAATCAATGTAATATATATTACTTTTTAATACTTTTATGCAAATTTTTTTCATATTTTTAACTCCCGCTTTTTGAGTATATGACAAATTTCGAGACAAAAGTTGATTTCATGATTGTACGATAGAGACAAATGAAAATGCTTAAGTAGAATTGAAATTGATTGATCATCAATTATTGAAAAACATCAGGAAAAGATTATGGAGAATGACAAGGAAAAAAAAGGAGAAATACTTTAGAAAATGAAGATAGTTATTTAATCAATAATGCAGAAATGGTTGAAAAAGAATTAGGTATTTGTCCTCTTTGTCATCGTGTATAATTAAATAAAATAACTGAAAATCAATTTCAATTCTAATAAATTCACCATTTTCATTCCAAATTGACCTCATCCCAATTGCTTTAAAGCTGGATCTATTTGTGAATGGAGTACATGCTGAATAAAAAGTCTTTAATATTTTTGGGATATTTTTTCCAATTCTATCCATATTTTCATCAAAAATTTTGTTGGAATAATAAAACCGTTTAACATTTGCAAAAAGGTATTTATCCAGCGCTTGAAGTAAATGACTGCTGTGGGATGGCAAAAAATTAAATATAAATGTTTTCTTTTGCAGCCAATGATTTAACAATGTCATTATTATGGCATAGTAAACCGTCACATATCAAAAAGGCTTTCTTGTTTATTCGTTGTGAACCAAGTTTTTATCTTACTGTTTTAAGGTGATGTATTAATATTTTCTCAAACCGCATTTCAAAAATTCTGCTATTATTAAAACCAGATTCTCTATATGCAAAAACACAATCTTTGCCTATCCAAACATCATTAGTTAAAAAAGTTATCGGAAATGACTGAATTGGAACAATCATTATAGGTTTGGTATAATCACCTGATAAAGATATACCAGCAATCAAAGAAAATATTTTCGTCAAGTCTGTTTCTTTTTCATAAAAAACTTTACTATTTTTTCTCTCATTTAAATCTGATTTACAAGCAACGCATTTTTTTCTTTCCGTTAGTTCTTCTTGAGAAACCAATTTCATCTACATTCAGTATTAAATCTGGATCAAAGTCTTCAACAGCTGTTGAAGAAAGTATTGACTGATTTCCTCTATAGGAACCTCTGTCCTTTCATCATCTAGTGGATATGCATCGCAATAAACTAATATATTTTCTTTTTTTATTATTCGCGAAACTGTTTTTTTTTTTTTTTTTTTTTTTTTTTTTTTTTTTTTTGATACAGTTTTTGAAAACAGTGTTTCTATATACTGGCATATATCTGACTTACTCATTGGATGATAATTTTGTACTTTTGATGATATTTCTTCTGTAAGCTCCTGAATTTGGTTGTATGATAAAACAGGATACCTTCCTATCTGATCTTCTTTGGAACATGATCCTAAAAATAATTTAAATGCTTTGATGTAGGAATGAATATTCCAAATTTATAGCTCAAATAAAATCGATAAAGCTTTTTTTATCGATTTAGTTTGAATGATAACATCAAAACATAATATTTCATAGTAACAAAAAATTTGATGACGTCTGCTCTTCGTGTCAAAAGCTTTATACTTCTTTTAATTAATCTAATTACTCTATCTGCTAAATTAAAGAATGATTGAAAGCTATTCCATTGCAAACTCTCCATTTCTCTTGGTAGCAGGATTAGAGGATCATTTGTTATTTCTTCTATTGAATTCAGATATTTAATAAGTTCCA